AGGAGCTATTGTACAGTCTCACTAATTAGCTGATGACAGTGTTAGAGAGAAAGAGAGAAGAGAAGAACCAAGCTGAGATAATCACAGGACTTAGAGCATCTAACGGGAGAATCCATGTTTTAGTAAGAAGAAAGCCAGAAAAATAAGAGATAGCAAGATTATTAAGTACATCAGCTTTATGACCTGCTAAAGAACAATCTAATAAAACACAAGAAATGAAAGATGCAGCATAATGAACATAAACTAGATTAATGCAGAACCATTGTTAGGAAATGAGATCCTAATGATTACCAGCAAGTAAAAGAAAAATATGTGAAGTAACTCTAGGAGTGTAGAATGCAAAAAGGAAAGGAAAAGAAAAACCCTATAATTACAAATCAGTCATCATAAAAAGAGAGAGGTGGGTACAAACCGAGCTTAGTCCAGCTGATTACTCATTCTTCGATCCAGCTACAGCCACCTAGGAGCCTAATAAACTCCTTCCCTGAAGTATTATGGCAGATTTTGGATGATGAGATTCAGAAAGTGGCAGCATGTAAAGATCTCCTCTACATATGCAATCTTTGGGCTGCCATACTTTAAAGAATTATTAATAATTTTTGTTGGCCCAGTAGAATTGGAATCATTTCATGCAAACAGGCAGAAACAGAATGTCTTGGTGTGTTGAGGGGAGTTTGAAATGTTCTCATTCCAAAATGCGGATGGATTATTATTATTATTATTATTTTTTGAGAGGGATGATAGGCCTTTTGAAATATACAGTTCTAGCCAGTCACCAGCCAAAAATAACTGCCTATTTATTTGATTGACCAATTTCTGCCCCACTTTTCTGGTCAATTGAACGGTTTGTTGCCAATTTCAGTGACATTTGTTTGAGAGCTCTAAACGCTGTGATGAACTGATCCAAGGAGCCATGTTTTGCGTCCCCTACTCTATTGTACAGGCTCCTAGGGTTGAAAATAGAATATATCTCCTAAACAGCAGAAGAAATTGAGTTTGATTGTTTTATATGCATCTACCTCTGCTTATTTCTGGCTTTGGGTCTTAATTCTCCTTTTTGATTGATCGATGCTCTGTGACAAGAGGGAATTGATCTCAGGCAGCAAAATCCAGTTCCATCTGACTATGACCAGGCTTATATTTCAACAGATCTGCCTTTTCAGTTAAGGGTATCTATACAAAGCAGCCAACAGTAAAAAAAACATGCTTGCTCATTTTTCCTGGAAAAATCCAGCCCTTATGGATAAGCATTATATGTGAACCAAACCAGCGTGTATTATTGAATTTATTATTAGAACAAGCCAAAGTACAGTGTGTCATGAGAACAAAGTCATATACAGATAAAGCTATCAAAACTCTGGGCTCAAAAACTTGCTGGAATGCCAGAATTACAATCACAGTGTTCCAGCCAAAATTAATTCCTAGTTAGCAAAGACTTTATTTCAGGATCATAATTTTGGAGCTAAGGAAAGAGACATTTTGTTGTTCCTATTATTAAGCAATTGGAAGTCTGAAAGCATCGCTACTCAAATGTGAGTCACACAGAGATCTGACAGTACATCCGGATCTATCTTTTATTTTTCCCTTCCCTGCTCTCAGTTCAGCGTGATTTCTTCTCTAAGGGGTTGGGGTACAAGCGGTGAGATTATTATTGGATATCTTGTCTCTTTCTCCCGCATTTTAGCTTGCCTGCAAAAATGTATTCTGGGTCTTTTCTCCCCTCATCTTTTTATTTTATTTTTTTTCAAACAACGTAACAGCCATAAGGGTTCTGCTTCAGGCTACATTGTGTTTCATCAGATCAAAATAAGGGGAGAAAGCCATCCATCTTAACCCGGCTTGCCTCTTCACACTGCTTTGGTGTTTAATGTTGAAAAGGAGGGGGAATATTAGAATGGCAGACATGTATAACCAAAGAGATATATCTCCAGTATAATTCAAATGCTTCAGTTTTTTTTTCCAGATGAAACAAAGTGGGGGATTGAGTTTTCTCTAATAGTGCTATTAATTGGTATAATAAATCTGATTTGGGAGCTAGTAGAAGTGTGGGGTTGGGCCAGTGGGTGGGGATGGATGGATGGATAGATAGATAGATAGATAGATAGATAGATAGATAGATAGATAGAT